TGAGGATTGCAGGGAGGGGAGTAGCAGTCAGGACCCTCTTCTCATCATTTTTTCAGCGATTCCGGGCCCGCGAACTGAGCAGAGTCTGCATCGATTTCGACCAGGAAGTCGGCGTGTGACTGGGGTTGATCGGAATGTGTGAAGGAAACGGATGAGCCCATACACCTCTGGCCGACAGGCTGAGAAATGGGTCAGCCCGTTTTGTGAATAGCTGCCTGGCTCGTGGAGTGGGATGGAGACCTCCTGATGACCGTTGGCTCGTGCGAGACAAGTCGGAACTTCCTGAGACAAGGCCCGTGTTCGCTTTTGACAGGTTTCTTCGCCATTCCAAAAGACGGTATACCTCCGCATATAAAGAACACCACCCACCCCTTGTTTTAGGGGTCTTTGCTTCCCATTTTGACACTAGGGGACTTTGATCATGTCATCTTACCCTGCGGAGTGAGGAAACCCTCGATGGTTCCGACAGCCATTTCTCCTTCAGCCTGAGACGAAAGCATCCAAGTCGTGCCATCCGCAGCAGCTACTCTTAGTGGAGCTATATTGGCTCCGGCTCCTCTATAAGGAAGGTCAACCTACCATGGTTTGGTGAGGGAGGTTTTGACTCATAGCCATATGCATGTGTCCTCTCTCATGGGCAGCAACTCGGACTCGAACTCCCAACATGTTTTTCTCTTGCGAGTCTGGGGTCGGACTTCGCCTCTGACAGTCGTAGGCGATCCTATGGGTCGATCGGGTCGGACGGGTAGCCTGTCCAATGAGTATGATGAGCAAGGACGCTACGAACGGGGCTTCTGGCCTTACTACTAGGAGCAAGAACCCTACGTTCGGGGCGGAAGATGTTTTTGTGGGGCAATTTCCCGCACGCTGCTTGGTGGAGGTTCCATTCATTTCCTAAGCTGCATACCCTCCTGAATCTGGGGAGCACCTTTCAGCACCCAAAAAGTCAAGAGCATGACTTCTTGATACTTATTGTAAGACATTGTCGTACATTTCCCCAGATTCCGGATTTGTACAGGGGGCGATCCGTCACCTTCCCCTCAGGTGACGCGAGCCCGACGCAAAGGTTAAAGGCTGCCATCGGGGGAGCTGCCATCCGGTGATGTCTGCCACTTTATGTGAGACCAGTGCATTGCTTGCAGCGGTGCACCGATCTCTGCACAATTCAGCGGTGTAGTCGCCAAGATTTGCGGAGCGGTGCTTGGAACATCCTGATTTCGAAAGGGGTGGAAAGGGGTGTCGTTCGTCATCGTTAGTCGATGTTCGACATGTTTTGTTCTAAATCTTTGATCTTCAAGCACCAGTGCAATCTCCAGCTCAAGCACAGCTCAACAAGCAGCTGTGTTAGCTGTGAACTGCCGACTGCCCAGTCTGGTTTCAAGTAGGTACAAGACTAGTCAAGATACACTCGGGATCACTCGGGGCGTACTACGAATAGGCTGAAAGCCGGAGCCATCTGACGACTGGCGAGCTCTCGTTCCGATGTCGCCACACCTTCAGTTGGCGCGAAGAACTTACGCCCCGGCCCCATGTATATAGAACGTGTTTCGGCTTAGAGTCTGCGTGACCCAGAGAAACGGAACGTGCTGCATATTGATATTTTAGCAAGCCACTTAGAAGTGAAGGTAAGTGTGCACAAATGACGTTCGGGTACAGCTTTCAATGAACATGGTTTTCCTTCTGATCGCCCGTTTTTCCTTCTGATCTTGGGCTCGTGGTGGTCGCGTTCGACCTGAAAAACATGCGCCTCGTTGTAGTGAACAGAGCGGAACGCGTGCTGAGGTGATGTGCTTCGCTGAAGGTTTGGCGAAGGGTCATCGTGGCTATCTCTGAGGAGATCATGTCACAGGAAAAAGCGAAACGCAAAAAGGAGGTTTGATCCAGTGGGTCGCAGGCTGTTCTGCGTGAATCTTATCCAGAAAGCAGGGTTGATCAACATAAACAAAGGCTCATACACCTTGCTTGGTTTGTATTCTGCATCCCGGCATCCAGCAAGTTCCACTTAGATCCACTTGCCATCCAACAGCTGTAGTTGAAGTCGGGGAGAAACTGGGGAAGTGAGACAACCGGCTCAAGTCCAGAGTGCGAAGAGATTCAACTGTGAATGATGTGAAGGAATCATCTGTGTTCTGATTGGCGTCTCTGCCCACCTTTGTTCGTTATTCCCAAAGGGTTGGTTGTTCAGCCGGGGGTATGCGGCTTCCGTCTTCCCTCATGTTTCAAGAGTGCAAGCCAGCATCTTTGATGCCAAACCACGCCGTCGAAATTGTGTTTTGTGGCAAGCAACCACGCCGCAGGTTGGCAGTACCAGGTTCTTGGGTTGTCTCGAGTGGCAAAAGCATGGATCATGGTGGCTTCCAAAACGAAAATGCTTTGACATTCTTGGGGTAAGCGGTGTGCCACCGGGGTGGGCCAAGTTCCTTGGCAAAATTGGGTCATAGCTCAGAAGATGAACAATAACTGAGAAGACTGCAAAGACCAATGAGCCACCTTTTTGTGACATCTCCTACCTTGGATGGACACTTGCAGTGAGCACAGGCTCGAGTCATGGTATATTGAAAAAACTATGAACAAATTGGAGGACAACCATAAGAGGACATATGTGGCTCAACGCATCAGGAACTCGGGTCCTTACCTGGGTGCCTGATGCCAGTACATGCGTTTCTTCCCGCCTACTTGCGCGCCACCGCCGTCTTTCTCAGCTCGAGCTTGGCGGATCTGTCTGTCTCTCAGCGTTTCAGTGCGGCGTTTCTGCCACTCGTCCGGGTCCTCAGAGGGTGGACTTCCCCAGCTCAGAGGTGGCGACTGGTGAGGGTTCTTCCTTTAGTCAGTCCAGCCGACTCCTTGGACATCAACCGCCTGTCGAACTACTGAACCACCCGCTACGCGGAGGCCTTGGGGCGGTTTTGAATGGATTTTTCATGGAGGCCACTTTGACTGCGCGTGAGTGTCCCAACTGTGTCACAGACGGTATCAGCTACTTTTCCTTTTTGTTTGGGTCCTGAAAAACCCAACCTTATCACCACAGGTCCACCTTCGAGCCTGCGGTCGATGGCTAGGGAGCCCTCCACTCCATCACCCAGGTCGAAGCTCCATCATGCTGCGACAGATCTGCTTGAAGGTGAGCGGGGTGGGGTCGAAGCGACCGTCGCTCGCTCAAGAGCTCGGGGGTTTTGAAACGCGACTGACAAGCCACCACAAATGAACAATGTTGGCCGACAAATGGATTGGTCTTCCGATGTCATTATATACAGGCAAACAACAATGTCGTCACTGTTTTTTTGAAGTATTGTTATCCTGCCTTGTGGGGAATGCTTTGCGGAAAGTTGTCTCTTTTTTCCAAAACACAAGCCAACTCTGTTGGTTGGAAAGGGACCTACTTTTTAGGTTGTATGCTGAGGCTCTCATCGAAAGGTGTTTTACGCTGTACTGGCAACTCATAAGGGGTTAAGAATGCCTGCTGAAGCAATGAGTTTCTTATTCTGTAGTGGGTCCTGCAAGCAGCTCGCAAGCCACATACATGCGAGACAAGCACAGTCATTTCCAGGCTTGCCAGTGCAGTTCGCAATGGAACACCTGTGGACTTGGACAGATTACGCCAAGATAGCGAGAGCTACTGGGAGAGCTAGTGGGGTTCTTATTTCCAGTATAGGAAGAGGTGCCCTCGTTGCAGGGTGTTGCTGCCAGATGTCTAGTGCGCGCTTTGCTGGTACCGCTTTTCTGCCACTGTCTAGGCATAGTTTTGGGTAGTCTCGGGCGTGCAGTTTTGGATCTCGCCCGGATCTCGCCCAGAGCCACCATCCTCCTGCTGCTGCTGTTCGTGTGCTGCTGCCACTGATTGGCTGCTTCCACACTGCAGTTTGATTTTTTTAACTCAAAGCCCAAACTTTCTTTTGGGGCAAATCTTGTTTGGGTATCAGTGTTCCATTGGGATCAGCTCCCGGGGGTGACTGGGGGATGACTTCTTGCAAACAGCGTTGCCATGGTGATTTGGCATTGAAATAGTGGCAAGGGGTGACTAAGGGAGGACTTTGTCAGGTTCCTGTTGTCGTTATACCATGTTATACCATGTGATACCTCCATGTTACAGGGAAAGACGATGAGAGGTAGAGGTGTGTGCAATGGTAGTTGATCTGGCGAAGGGATCATAGTGTGAGCCAGTTTGTGGTTTCGGGAGGGTTTCAGGTGGGTATATGGATTTGAGGAAGAGAACAAAAAGGAGGTGAACAGGTCGACCGGATCCGGATCCGCTTGACGGAGCCTTCGGTTTTGGTCCAGAACGGGGCCCAAGTCATTGAGGCGCCAGGTGCACAAGTTTGGTGAAGACGCAACTCCATCCAACTCTATCCACCATGTCCCAGGACCATTCTGTCCTGGGTGTCCCACAGACTAGACTGCACTTTTTCAGGTCCGTATACATCCATCTATCCAGGCCGCAAAGCAGGCGGCGCGCCCACAGCTGCTCCAGCCGCCGGGGCGCCCGCTGTGCAGGTGGCGGCGGATGCAGATTTCCCCTATCTAAGCGCACTTGTTGAAGAAACCAACCTAAGTGGTGAGTGTGTCAACCCCCCACCAAAAGCATACGCCACCAGACGGTAGATGCAGATCCATTGGGTGGTCACCCCCCAAGAAATAACCTATAAGCCAAAACGCAGGTTCGGACACCCTACACTCCCTGGAACTCACATGGAAGTGGAACCCCCCTGTTTGTATAGTTGGCTCAGCACTCGCGTTCCAGTTTGGGCGTCTCGACACTATATGAATAAAAGAAGAGATAAGATATGATAAACATATTAAGATGCATTTCCAGATTCATTTGCAGATTTTCGAATGGTTTACATGTTAAAATTGACTTATTTCACAACAGTTGTGGATGTCGACAAAAGAGCCATCTCTCGGGTCTGGACATTCCATTCACACCCCCAACAATGCCGCATGGTAAAGGATTTAAATGAGGCATGATGAATCCATTTGGGGTGGCATGTTCATTTACACCCGGAATGGGTGTGTCACCCCATTATGCCGAGACTCATGAGACTCATGAGACCTCTGGTGGCAGTCTGACTTTGAAGACCTCGGACCTCCGTCATGAGCCTGCTTCATCTTGGCGCAATGAGCGTGCAATGTTTCAAGGCGGAGGTTTCTGGTAGACCGACGGACACCCACTCTCGGACGAAATCATGTCCAATCAAACATGCTTATGCTACTCTTGACAAGCAGCCCAAACCACAGACACTGACCCTGCCATATTGAATTACCTCTTTCACAAAATCGTACCGCGTACCTCTGTTCTGGAATGGGACTGCTTGGCTCGCCGAGCCTCTCAAAACAAAGTTCACCCTGACTCAATGAAGTTGAAACACATTAGCCTGTATGTCCTTCTTGATGAGTGTTCCTGGACCGCAGATTCGTAACTCCTTGGCTTTCTGGAACTCAATTTGTTTTGGTTTCACTTTCATTTGGCCTGTTTCTGGTTATAGATCAGTTCAGGCGTGGTTTCAGAGGTTCTCATTTTCATGTACATGTCCCAAGAACCGGCTTTTGCCAAGAGGTCGATTGGGTCGGCAATAGCCGTACATTGCGCTTGTAGAGCGGTTGTCGCTTGTCCAAGGGGCCATGGCGGCCAAATTTTGTTCCAGGGAATATAGGAGACGCCTTGGCAAGACCTCCAAAACTGCTTCACAGGAGACGCCTCCTTGAATCAATCTGCAGTCAGTCTGCAGTCGGTCCCTTGCTAGGGACGAGTGGTGCGGGTAGTAGCATTTGTCCTTGACCTTTGGGGCCCTTCGTCCCAACACCCTTGGTTCCGGTTCGAACACGAACACCCACCCCGCCCAGAACCCAGCAGCTGGTGCGCCACTTCGGCGGACCCGTCGGGGTGCCCAAAAAGCGTGTTGCTTGGTGGCCAAGATCGTGGTCGGCTTTTCTGAGCGTCTTCTTATTGTAGAAAAAGCTAGGTTTTGGTATTCAACCCTTCTGGTTGAGCAGTTCGTTTAAATTTTGTGTGAAACGCCCATCTTCAGTCAACCTGTGTTCCTTTCACTTGTGAGTTGAAGTCGCCAGTACAGGCTTCACCTGAGTTTTATTCACTGTGCATGTGGGGTTGACCGCTGTTGTCTCACAGCAAATGTTCTTGCTTTAATTGATTTTTCTGTTGGATTCATGTGGGCTGACTGATTGAATTCGTCGCTTGCTCATCTGCACGGCGGGTTTTCAGGTCAACTCATCGTCTTTTCATGGACTCTTCATTCCCCCGAAAATGGATGCAGGTCTGGCAGGTCTGGCACTGTGGTGGTGACCTCGGCCCGTCAGGTCGTGCCCAAATCGCAGGGCAAGACCTTCCGCCCAGCCTCGCTGGGGGCCCAGGGCATCTGGAGATCGGGAGATTTGGCGCCTGGTGCGCCTGGTAGGTTGACCTCCGAAACGGAGTCTATTCTGTTCATCTTTGGTGGGAAGAACCAGGGCTTTCCCGGTGCCATGATCCACAGGGCTGCTGGCAGTTTGGATGAAGATGCTTAAAGACAGGGCACCAGATTTACGTTTCCAGAATGTTTTGTTTTTTTCCAAACCATGGGCACAAAGACTCCTGCCATGTGGAAAAACACACATGTTTTTGTTGGTGGGTTCCAGGCACTGTGAGCCACTCTGCTTGCTGAGTGCCGTGAGTGGAGGCCATCCGAGCCGGACATGGAGTATGTGGAGACGTTCGGGAGCCGAGCATCGACTCCACTAAGCCGAGCCATTGGAATTGTCGGCTTATATCGTGGGCTTCGTCGGGTCTCGGCAGAGGCTGCGGTTTTGACATGGGGGCCTTCTTAGAGTAGAGAGTAGTGAGTAGACACGCTAGAGAAGCTGCTTAGGCAAAGTGGGTTGTAGAATTGGGAGAAGTATACCGCTGTCATGAGTCCAGGTGTGGTTTTCAGGAGCAATCTCTTGAATGGGTGAGGCTCATCTACTTTTCATCTTTCTCATGGCAGGGACTGCCAGTATGCCTGAATCCCCAACAGCAGGAAACATGAAGAACATCCTGTCCTCACCCATGTCTCCTTGATTCTCTTGGTGTTTCCCACGAATCCCTTCGGTTCCCGAGTTGCAAACACCACAATCCGGGAGAAGTGGAAGCCCAGGTCGACCTTTGGGCCGAGTTTTCTCAGGACCAGGAGGATCAATTCGTGGTTTTACACTCCCCCGGCTGAAGAGTGTTTGGTCATCCATGTCGTTGATAACGAAGACCAGTCGTTGGCTTGTGCTTCAACCAACGACTTGAGATGAAAAACGCAACATCGAACAGTGCAGTGCAGTGCAGGAGCAGAACACTTTTCGTTCTGCAGGTGGTAGGCCCTAGGCGTTCGAAAGACCCGGGGCTCCATTCAGACGGTATATTTTGGAAAGCCCCAATATTGACCTTTTGTTCTGAAAAATCCCCCAAAGTGTGAAAGGGGCTGTTGGGAAGGCGAGAGCCGCCATGCAAGCTTAATAGAGACTCTTGATTAATAACACCCCCTTTGAAGAGCTCTTACAATTCAAATACGAGGGTTTTGTAAATCAAGATTATGCATTTATATACTCCATATGCAGAACACATTGGTGATCAAACCACCCACTCTCCTCACCTGCACATGCGCTGACCATCGTGCCGTGCCTTAGGCCATCCATGCTCTACCTGACCGGCGTCGTCACCGTTTCGGGGCATTGAACTGCTCGGGTCACGTCTATGGTGGTCAATGGTAGTTTGCAGACTCTTTCTTCATAAAACCGACCTCCCCCATTTGGATTGTAGAATCTCTTCTAATATGGGTGGTTTATTAAGCAGAGGACCACATTAATCAAGAGTCTACATTAGTCTTTTGAGTGAAATCCAGTGGGTTACGGCATTGTTTAAAAATTTTAAAAGCTGTGGTTGTTAGCAAGACGCTGCAAGCAGCCATTGTCTTTTCAGCCACCGGAATCATCGCTTCCCAGCAGATATGTCAAGGTGCTTGCAGCAGCCTACAGGGGTCGAAAGTCATATACGTATTCCCCATTCAAGCCTTCCCATTGACCCGAGTGAAGGCGTGTGACCACTGTGACCAGCGTGAGCCTCCTCACATGCATTCATGACTCCCAACGACCCTACGCAGAAGTTTTTTTTGGGGTTTGAGCTCCTTGCAGAAAGGCCAATTGCCATCAAACGTCGGGTACGGCTATAGATACCTTTTTTTTTGGTTCACCACGTTCTCTTACGAACCAGGTTCCTGCGAACCGTCCCGAATTTTTGGGTACATGATCGTATCTCATTAGCATCTGATCCTCATCCTCATCCGCAAAAAAGCACCTCATCCTCCTTCTCCTGCGGCCGGTGGGACTGACATCGGCGCTACCGAGGTTCCAATTGTTGGGCCCTCAAGAGCGGAGTAAACACCCGTTTGAAGAAGCGCCCATCAGCTAGGACTGGGGGAAGAAGTAAAAATGGCTAAGTACTTAGACCCGGTCAAAGCAATTTGGATACATTGAACTACTGTGGGATTGAATGGGTCCATCCAATTCGGATTTCAGATCCCATCAGTGCAACCGGAATGGTGGACCAGCTGGGGTTCTACCAGGGGAGACACATCGATCTGGGAGACCCATGGAGTGGGCGGCCGAGTGGGCGGCGGAGGTGAAGTCAGACCTGGTGACCACGGTGACACGAAGACTTCTCATCTGTCTACAAGGTTGACACGTTTGCGTGGTTCATTGATACACATGTCTGACTCCTGGAAGTGATGTTCACAAGTGCTCTGGAAAAGAACAATCGCTGGTCATCTTCCAATTTGTTGAGGTCTTCAGCTTCTGGTACCTCACCCAGTTCGTGTGAGAGCGGATATCGGATCGGATGATGAACTGAGCCCGGCTGGCAATAGGCAATAGATTTCTTTATGCTCTGAGATTGGGAGATGGGACATGTTGGAACTAGAAGTTGGAAGCTGGATGACTTATATAATATAGTTGTGTGCTTGGCAAAGGTTTGAAGACACATACACAAGCAGCACCAAATTGGGAGGTCAGGGTTGATCTAGACTTGAATTTTGACCACCTTTTTGACAAAGAGGGCATGAAACAGGTGTCAGTGTCTTGATCAACCCGGAGGTATCAAGGCTCAAGGTTTTCAGCGATGTCAGCTTTCACTTCTTACGTCTTGCAGCCCCCAGGGGCATGACGGAACCGTGGAGAAAAGGAACGGCACCGACGCATGTCGTCGTGCAGTGCCGGCGCCCCCTACAGCGCTGAGTTCGCAGACACGTCGAACGACCCGTCCGACGGGTGCCGTGAGGACGCGCCGTTTCGCTGGTCTCTAGGAAGACAGGAAAACGCGTACGCTCGACAGAGCAAGCACGACATGTATTTGCGTTCCTGGGCTTACTTTGAGTCCATACTCTGGCTAGAGGAGGTGACTCATTCTTGACTTTCGCATTTTCAGGAGGCTAAAGCAAGGCTTGGAAGTAAAGCAAGGCCCAATGCCTTTGTACGGCTGACAAACTATCACACCCTCTGACCACCAAATCCTCCCTGTTTGGTATGCGCAACACCCTCTTCCAACGAGCGAAACGGCGCGATCCACAGAACCACGTGAGCCACGTGACTCTCGGAGAGCGTAGCGTCACACGTGTGTGCTTTTTCACATGCTTTGCACTTGGATGTGGGTCAAATTCTCCAAACATGCTGGATCCCACATGGTAGGGTTGACCATATCTGGTGTAGTTCGTTTTGATGGGTTCGGCCTTATGGTAGATGTATGTAGATGTATGTCTATGATGTGACTTTGTCATGATTGGATTCATGTTCTTCGGAGATAGTTGCGGGTTTGATTCCTTTTGTGTCGCACCTGCATCATGTTGAGCACGAAGGACACCATAGCAGTTTTCTTCATGTTGGGTTGTTTCTACAGGTTTGTACATGTTTATACTTCAATCCTTGACCAATCATTCTCTTCATGTGAATGACCTTGGCTCAGACCCCGGGCGTTGCGGTCCCACCGAGATCTGTCCACCGAAGAACATCGCCATCGCCCGGGACGCCAAGCGACGTGCGGGTCTGGTGCAGCGAGGCCGGCGTTGGATGGAGGCCGGGTTCTTGAGTCACTTTAACAGGGAAGTTTGGGAGAGCATTTTTAGATGAAGAGATCAAATACACCGAGGTTCAGCCGTTCTGGTAAAGCCCAACATCACTTTATTGGGTTCGTCCGTTCTGGTACATAGAGGTTCAACTTGAGATTTCCCGAGCTGAAAAGGAGCTCCACCGCGTGACCCACTTGAGCCACGCCAGCTTGGCCAACCCGAACGGATCACCGTCGTGGTTTTTGCTCCACGTGTCGGCGTGCTAAGGCCCCAACGGATGGCGCAAGCATTCAAGCGATTCGTTCCACTGGCGGATCGCGCGGGGTCTCAGTCGAGGGTGATGCAGGCAATGCCGAACGTCTAAGACTGAAGGCCTGGAAAACCGAAAACCCCGAAACAGTGCTTCTGTGCGTCATTTGAGGCATTTTGGTACAGAAGCTGAAGGCGGGAGGAATTTTCGTCCGTCGTGTGTTGAAGAGAAGTGGGTGGGGCTTGTGGATAGCTATTGGTTCTCCTTGAGATCAGACTCACAGCCATCCGATCGCTTTGAAGTCATGGGCCGGTGGGGCACAGCAGTTTGCTTTCATGACTTCATGGAAGGGTGACGATGCTTCAAGGAAGATGTTTCTTTTTTGCCTTCTTTATCTTCTTCAGGGTTTGCTTACCTGTACACTCTGCACTGCAACGCCAAACTCAGACAGGATATTCTGTCAAGATTGGGGTAGTTGCCACTAGACTTCAATTGTTGTACCTGAACGTTGCAAGTTGATTTGGGCAAGAGGTCCCACGTCTCAAGTCACCAAGTCACCAAGTCTGTTCTGCAGCACTGGACCCGGTCGTGGACGCGGTTTGAGAGATGGTTTGAGAGGGTGGAAGGGTTTTCTTGAGGAACATGTGAATCAGAGTGTAGCTTCCAGTCAAAGGGTTTTGGCCATTGCGGTTGACATGCCACTGGTTCTGGTTGACCCGACACGCGCAGTTGGTGTCGAGGCAGAGGCCAAATCTGCAGGCGGAGTCCTATTGCCCGACTCGGCAAAACAGGAAATCAACCAGGCGCATGTCGGATGGTTTTGCTCATCGATGAGCAAGGGCTGTGGAACTACAAGGAGACTTCCCAAAGACCGCTAGAAGAAGGGAACATGATTCTATGAAAGACATCGTCAGAGGTTGGGAGGTTTCGTCCCTTTCGGGATGCATGTGGTGCGCGGTCGGCACCAACCTCTCACGATCTTCGATGCATCGAGGGTCCTAATGGACTGCCGGCCCATGCTCTGATCCGCAGTCGTCACCTAAACGAAGCCATGGCCGCGTAGAAGAAACTCTCCCAGGTCTTTGGCAGTGGCGAAAGACCAGAGGAAATCTGAAGAATGTGAAGCGACATCCAGGTGAAAGAACACAGATGATGCCATCACCAAGCAAAACTCATGTTCTTTGGGAGAATCTGACTCTTCTTGGATTCGACAAACACGGAAGCCCATCACACCAGCCTCATACCGCGTCCGAGCTTTAGCTTTCACTGTGCTCTTCCATCCCTATTCCTCGCTGTCCACCGCCAACCATGGCAGGCGAAGGTGATGGCGATTGGCATGGGGCGCAGGAACCCAAAGGGTGAGATGATCCCGATGAACACCAAGGCGTTCACGGGCAGTCTGACGTGAGGGAGGAGGGGACCCCGGAGGGGAGAAACGTTTTCTTTTTGTTACTAGTAGTAAGGCACTTGTTCCTAGTAGCGAACATTGTTACTACTAGTAAGGCACCTGTTACTACTAGCGTGGCACTTGTTACTAGTAGCGTCCTCTCTAGGTTGACTCAACCTCAACCTCTCCCATTGGATGATCTCTGTAAATACCTAACCTAACATTACAAGGGCCTCTTCTCTTGGTGGACGAACGTGCCGGTTTCTGTGTGTTGTGATGCGTGGTTGGACCGAGAGCCGGCGAGTGACGGTGACGAAATGGGGGGGGACAAAGGACCGGTGGCTTCAAACTCAGATGGTTTTGAGGGGTTGGTCATGGCCTGGCCAGTCTTATTTTGCTTTTCCCTTGTCACTCCAGGGTTTTCTGCATGCTTCTGAGCAACACACAGAATCCATCAGAATCCGAGTTTTCGCATCATTTTCCCGTTCCCTTCACTCTCACACCTCTCCGCACCCCGTGCCCGTTCTTTTCGGCGGACACCGGTGAGGTGGGCGACACGGTGATCATCCCCAGGTACGGTGGCACCGAGGCGCGACACGGTCGTCACATCGAGTCGGCGATGCCTTGCGAAGAGGGTTTGCTGGCCGAGCTTCAGACCCTGGGACCATGGACCCTGAAAACCCACTGGTTGGTAGAGGAAACTCGTCTAGACATGGGGCCAGGACGTCAGGGTCTATGTTAGTTTTCGGGAGTGTAAGTCATCACTGGAAAGCTTGTAGCGAAAGAGTTGAGTTGGGACATGGTTCTCCTGAAGTGGTCCCGAAGTGGTCCAGATTGGAGGGGTCCCTGCCTGCCTTAAAGCTCAGTTTTTGGAGAAGCAAAGTCAACACCTCGAATCGTCGGGGGATGGGGCATCCCATGCGGGGATGAATCAGATGAACCACTTTGATTGGGGGATCCAAACCCGGAAGGGTCTGGGGAAGACCCATCAGAGATATTCAGAACGAGGTCGACTTCCGCCGCAGGGGGGTTCGACTCATTACTTACTCCCTAAAATCACAATGGACATGGAGAAAAACAACCTGACGAACAGGAAGGGTAATGTAGAAAGAAAGATTCTTGTTTGCAGTACATTCGATGATGTAAGCTCAGAATGTGGTCTCCTGTAAGTCTTTTCAGTCGAAGCTGGAAACTGCTCTGTCTGAGTAGGGCATGATCTGTCGCAATGTTATGCATTGTTATGCTTTGTTTAACAATCATTGTCAATCAAGAACCCTCATCTACCAGCAGCCCTAAATCCAAATCCTCCACCACATCCACCGACCACATTTAGAAGCTCCATTTTTTTCAGCGCATCTCCCCAACGCCACCGGCCAAAAAACACCACCCGAAATAGGCCAACACATTGGACAACATCCCCCAATAGGCCAGGCCACACCCCCTCAAACATCCGCCACATCTGCCCATCCAGACCGCGCCGCCGCCCACGCGAAAAACCACCAACACCAAGACCAGACCACAGCAACACGAACGGTCATCCTTGAGGAGCCGTGCCACGTGACGTAACCATGATGATCGGGAGTGTACTTGCCAGAATGCTGCGATTTGGCCGACGGCTGATGCTACTTGTTGCAGAATGTGACCGGGAAGTTCGGTATTTAAGCTGTTGACCTCTGCGAAAAAAAACAGCAACTGACAGTTCGGCATAGTTTGGCTACTATTTGTGTTGTTTTGTTCTATCGCAGATATGTGGCACAACTATTTTTTTAATAGTATGCCTATGACATCTGACATTTTGATTGATACATGAACAACAGCAGGCATGGTCACGGAGTTTCATCAGGATTCCCCTGTCACCGTCATCCTATATGTCACACGTGATCGTCTATATATTTTCCCATACTTGTAGAGCCATATGCAATTTGACATACATAGTTAACACATGTTGACTGCCCTCGTTCTCCCTCGTAAACATTGGGGCCACCACAGTGAGAAAACACAAACAAGTTGAAGGTCCAAAATCCTGCACCACCTCCTCAGAGGGGTCGCGCCAACATTGAATCAGGGGGCGCGGGGGGTTGCTATGCAACCCTTCCAGGGTAAAGTGGTGAGGTGGTGCAGGATTTTGTCCATCAACAGTAGGTGATTTGCTGGGGCACCTTTGTTTTTTCGTGCTCTCCGGTTCGCTCTGATTTATCATCTGGATCCTCGACGCTGGGGATCGGTTTCACCCCGCCCAGATCAAGCTGGGAGATGAGGAATTTCACATCTACAGGGATGAGGCAACGTCCGGCTGCGGCGGCTGCGCCGGCGGAAGGGCGCCGGCTGCTTCGGGGGTGTCGAAGTCTTCCACCTGTCTTGGACACCCAGGGGGGAGCTGTTGGGTCTTTTAGGAAAGCTGTTGGCATCAAGTCGTAAAAGGGAAAGCTGCTGGGCGACAGAGGACCGTAAACTGCGATACTCTCTTTGAAATCAACATGGTTATGTGATGTGACGTGGAAGGCATCACCCCGACCATTTTCCCTGAAATCATCGGTGGTTTTCTTCACTTCCATTATTTTAGGGAATGTACCTTCAGTTGGGAGATTCGATGCAAAATGCTTGCTCTGTAGTCTTTAGGGGAGCCCCTACGTGCCAAGAGTCATATGAACTGATACAAAAGGGTCGGTGTGCTATGCTACCTGGCACAGATCTGCTCTTGAATGGTGGTATACAGTATACAGTGTTCGTGCCTGTGGTTTTGTCCCAATCTGTGGTTTTGTCTCCATCCGCAACAGCCATCCATCTGAACCAGGACATCGTCGGTATCGTCAAGGAGGAATGAGAGTCTTTCATCTGACACCAAAACATGGCACATCTTTTGGATGGAGCCTGGTGAGCTGATAGACTCGAGTTATGTCTTCACCGTAGGCAGTGGAAACCGCACCGGTTGAGTCTCGTGACTGGGTTTTCATGGAGATGAAGCACATAGGGCTTGACAATCACAGCTTCTGTAGAAGCCGATCCTACCGCCCGACTTGGGTCGCCTGTTCGATTTCTGTATGCTCCTCCAGAGGTTTGCTCCACAGCATGTCTCAATTGAAGACGATTGAAGTCAATGCGTTGAAGTCCAAGCGGGGCAGTTCTGTTGATCCTTTTGGCACGGCCACTCCGGTCTTCCGGGTCCGGACCACAACCGGGTCACCAGGTCAGGTCAGGTTGGTAAACAATGATCACTATTTTAGAGAAAGGCCTGCAACTGAACCATCATCCACGGTTACTGGTAATAGGATAGACCCCAAACACATGTATTCTCCAGACCAAAAGGCGGACTCACGAACCCAGACACGGGATCTGCAGTGACGCGATGTCACGTTGAACCACACCCGTTCGCCATTTTGCTGCTGTGGTCGACGACAAAGCCGAACTGACTTTTGCAGGGCAACCCGTCTACCCGAACCACCGCAAAGCACCTGAGTTTCCTGGAAAAGATCTTCCCAAACGATCCAGAACTACAACTTGCTGTCGTTGGGTTCGCATGAATTGGACCCTAAAGATGCACCTAACTTGAGGTTCGGGTCCTGTTCAAGGCCTCACTGAGCTGACCCTTGTAGACTCCACAGATGTTACTTGAAAATCCCCCACAGAGATGAAGAGGCTTTACAATCCCATGTCTCTTCTTTTTTCTCATCAACTTTCCACATTACCCAGGCAGACGAGCTACTTCACCCACTTCGGCACACTTCCATTTCAGGGCTATTTGGATAGGTTTGGATAGATTTCTTCCAGCTGGGAAAGGGGCAAAATCCTTCAACAGTCCTCCGGTGCAATCCGACGGTCAAGTCAGGCTGAAGCTTCTTTGTGCTTGAGGTCCGTGAAGGGAGTCGGTTCTTTTTGAGTCCAAGCCAGATCAACCGCGGTTTTCCATTTTTTCCATTGTAGATGACCATAGATGACCCATCAGCATCCTTCCTTTATGGGTGGGCACAGCTATACATCGTGGGCATGTATCCCATCGTTCAGCTTCCAACATCATGTTAAGCATCGGCCATAGCTGGGCAAAAACACTTGGCCCCGAAAAAGACCTCCCACCGGCGGACGCGGCCAACAAACATGGAGTTTGCTGCTTGCGCTTTGGAGGGGTGGATTTGAGTGAAGGCGAGTGAAGGGGGATTTGCACTTGATCGTGCTGTTTGGCCCCCCCAAAGAAGAATGGACCAGGGGAACATAGACATGAACCCCAACCGGTTCACCAGGTCCACATAAAGGGTGCCAAATTTTGATCCATGTCCATTTGGCTTGGTCTTTATTCTTGATCATTAGACACACAAGGTGTTTGCATGTTTTTTTCCCCGCACCGAGACGTTAAGCTTGACTCACACTCAGGCCCATCGCCACAAATGCTTCTCTTGCTGGTCATGACAGCATACGACAGCCGGTCGTCTTCTTGGTCATGTCTTCGTTGTCGGAGCCATGTCTTGTTTGGATCTCAGGACTGGTGGATCCTTTTTGGGGCTCCACTTCGACTCATCCAAGACCTAAGAGATGTTGAGCACGATGCTGTTGAGTCGGTCCGTGGAGGTGCAGGGACGGAGACGGTTGCATCGAAAAGAACTCAGACGGTTGCATCTGGTAACTACCATGAGTTCACCCAGACACTGGTCTTTGGGATGTAGTAATTGCCTAGCTATGCCTAGCTGCTTTGCTTCAGATTCCAATGGCTAGCCTGGCGTGCGGTATCGGAAGGCAGGCCCAGAGCAACGCGACTCCCGACAAAACTCACAGGTTTCAGGTGGTTGCTGGAAAGCGCTGGTTGCTGCCCTGCACAATCTGTCCTTCCCTGGCTGAGGGCCAGGGTCTCACCGGATGGCTATCACGGAGGGCCAGGGTCTCATGTAGTGCAACGAGGCAGACATCTAACGCAGCATGTTTCCCGCTCTGCTGCTGCATTTGGCTCGTGCTGTATGTTTGTTTAGCCGCTACGAGCGCAGGATGAGAGGCAGGATGAGCCCTGAGGGAGTCCCAGAGGGGTTCATGTGCATAGACTCATTACACTCCCGGAATTTATATATCATGAAAGTGGAGAAAAACAGTCCTGTTGTGTATTTGGATTTCATGGTCATCCGAACTCCGGGCCATGCCATCCACGTTGGCCCATGAATATTTCAGGGAGTGTGTCTTACACACGGTGGATCTCACCCTCATCATTCTTTTTTGCCACATGTGTGTCATCCCAAACGTTTGGAGGCAAACGCTTCCCCGAAGATTGGTCGAGGTAATTTTGGCTGGAGAGTCCTTTGGAATCCTTTGGAGATACAGACATACAATATCATACCATGACACAATAAAAGGATCTCTCTCTCTCTCTAATATATATATATATATATAAATACAGAAGGGATTGTCATGGGGGGTGGGTTTTTAATTCATAGGTTTTTTAATGATTTTCTAGTTAAGGAACATGAAAAGCCTGCAGAGGATCAAAAAAAACAAGAAACAATTTTCTGAGACTTTCGACGAAAATAGAGAAGTCTGCAGAGGACCAAAAAAACCAAAAAAA